CTCCCCGCTTATGCAAATGAAGCCCGGGAAATTCAAATCCCGGGCTTCATTTGCAAGTGCGGTATGTCTACATAACCCTCCTAGTTCGAACTAGGAGGGTAATGTGTAGACATACCCAGTGTTAGTATATTATTAGTATTATAGTAAGATGCATAGTATGTTGGGGGACACAGGTATTTCACATTCCCTATAAGCATTTGGAATTGCTAATTTTAAAATGCAAACCTAAAAAAAAAGAGCGGATCACGTAAATTGTCATGTCCATTAGCAACTCACAACACTGTGTAGTAGTAAAGTCAAGAGAGTAATCATTCTATTTAAAGATCTGTAGCATATGTAATACTTCCTTCACAGAGGCCCACTGAATATACAGTGTTAGAGACACGTTTGCTAACATTTTGCATATGGCAGTTGAGTACCTTTTCAAAAAAAACAGGGAAGTGTCAAAAAGGCAGGGATCAGCATTGTTATCTCTAGAGCCCAGCACATCTGTGGAAATCCACTTCATACCAGCATAGAGTGGAACAGATACCAATAACCGCACAGAGCTCTCCCCACACCTGCCCATCTGCTGGCAGGGAGGGAGCAGAATAGGATCTCTCTCACTCACTTCAAATACCTCTCTCTGCACAAAGGGCCCAGTGCAAACCCTGAGTCTGGATCCAGCCTGGGGTGACACACTGCCTGCTCCACAGAGCTGTTCTGGTGCTGCCGATTTCCAGGAGAGGAGGGTGGCAGTGGCAAAGCAGCAAGCCACCCTGTTCAGAGCCGGGAGGGCCTGGCTCTGCGGAACTGGAGTTGTGGAGGAAGCGGGCAGGAAGGGGCAGTGGCCTGGGCATGGGCGAGACACCTGCTCCTAGCTTTCCTAGCCTTTGTGGGCACCAACCCTATTCCTGGGGTACTGGAATGTCCCCAGAACTTCCGGCAAGGCCAGTGGTTTGGTGCTAACCCTGCTGGTGCCTGATCTGCAGTGTTCAACTGTGGCAGCCCAGGGGGCACAGCTAACTCGGGACTGGGGGTTAGCATCCAAAGTAGCTAGGCTGGGTTACATGTCAGAGTCAGGGCTATCCAGCATCACTTCTCTACACTGCATACCACCCAGCAGCTTAGGCCCTTCAGGCAGTAGCAGTGTCCCTACTAAAGCTCAGTCCAGCAGTTTCTGGGCAATAGAGCCTCTCTCCTGCTATGGGGATTGGAGTGGGCAGGGCCCCAAATCTGTACTACTCGACGCCCCCACATGATCCAACAGAAGCTGCTGCTGCTGCTGCCGTTACTGCCATTAAGTGCTGTCGCTCACAAGCCACAGCGGCAGCAGCATACAATACAACATCCATTCCCCTCTTCCACCTCATGAGACCCTGCCCCAGTGCTGCCCCTTACCCCCCCCATCCCTGATTTCCTGCTGCCTCTTGGCTGGAAGATCTGTGCTCCCGCTGCCATCCCCTCCAGGTAGCTTGCTGCTGTGGGTGAGGATGCAGATGAAGGTAAAAATCTAGTTAGCAGATGGAATGAAGAGTTGAACCTGGTGGATGCAGACCCCCATTTCTGAATCCATGCTGGGCTCAAAGTATTGCTGCTTTACTTGGCTTTTGTTTAAGTAACACCCATCAGAAGAGAAGAATAAGCCAGGTGTTACAACTAGTTACAAAGTCATCCACTTTGAAGGGAGAAAGCTGTATGAGGTCCTGAACATTCAGCATTGTCAGTTACCATTTTCTGGCCAAATTTCTCATGAAGAGATACATTTAAAATGCCTCAACAACAAAGAAGTGACAATTCCCACAAAGACAGCAGGTCCAGAACATGTGCTGTGCCAGCTATTCTCAGCTGCCTGATCACCATTAGATTACTTCAGGCATCTGTGTGCTAGTTAGGAATGTTAAGAAGCATGTAATTCATTAATCGTGTACTCAACAAAAATTTCGTCAGCTACATTATTAATAGATAAAGGTTAGCACTGCAAGCACTCAGTCCCAGCTTACACCAGGTCCCAGGAGCTACTCCCACTGCAGTTCTACATTAAAAGTATGGCCTGTTTTTGAGAGAGGAAACGGATTACAAAATTCAGAGCATGTACAAAAAAAAAACCCCTAGTTCTACATACTGCAGAAATTCCCCATGAAAGTCAAGTTTAAAAAATGTGAAACTAGTCAAATATGCTTTTTAAATACTGGAGTTTTACCATACAACATCAATATTAAATGGTGTTTAATGCAGGGGTGGGAAACCTTTTTTAGGTTGGGGGCCGCCGACCCACAAAAAAAATCAGTCAGGGGCCAGGAGCTATGGGAAGGCAGCAGGGGGCTGGAGGGCCACTGCAGGCTCCCCAATGCTGGGGGAGACCCTAAGCCTCAGGGGCCAGATCCAGGCAACCCAGGGGCTACATCTGGCTCTCAGCCCTAGGTCCCCCATCCCTGGTTTAATGCTCTCTCTTCCTGCTAATACTCTAACAGAGAAAGTAATGGCAGGAATAAACAAAACGAGTAAGACTTACCTGTGGATTCTGTGATGAAGTCCCTTGGACATTCAAAGAATTCTGTGTTGTGCCCTGGGAGATTAAACAGTTAGAAACACATTTTACCAAAAATCAGTAATGAAATGTTTTGGATAATTTTCAATCAAAGCATATATCCACACTAGGCTGGTTTTCTAGGAGTCAGAAAGCATCTTCAGTTTTAAGGCACTGTTTCCCTAAACTGTCGTTAATGGCCCACTCATAGTTTTCGTGGAAAACATGGGTTTTAACCCCCCCCTACCAAACTGCTGGAGAAGACACAGCCATTAAGTCACAATTAATTCTAAGTGTGAACCAGGAAATACAGTGAATTATTGCATTCTATTTGCCTCCTGAAAAATGTGGATTCCAAAGACAAGGAAAGGGGCATTTTTTTAGAAAGCTTTCTAAACAGCTCTGTCAAAGGCAGCACTACAGTCTTTCTGACTGAGGTACAGATAAAGTGGATTCCATAGACTCCTTCAGCATAAATTCAAAATAAGTATACAAGTGCTTTAAAAAGCTTTGCCATCATTTTGAAATCAAGACAGCAATAGCTCTACACCGCCAATCACAAATTTACCATGTACTCTTAATTTTGGTATTTTCTATTATACAGATGTTAGTAAACTTCTCTACTGTAGACCGCCTCTTATGGGATACACTATCTTAGGGAGCCAATTCATTCCCACCTGTAACTGCATGGACCTAAGTAAAAATAATCAGTAATCTCTGAAAAAAGTTAATCACACTTTTTGCTTTTGTTCCCTTTTGTCTCCCCTTGCGTATTTTCTGTTTTTCCTCAGTTTTTCATCTGTCTGGTCAGAGAAGAGGGAAATTCCTTTAAACAGGTCTTGAGTGGAATGCTAAACCTCCAGTGCACCTCCACACTGATGTCATTTTTGGCTTCCATGTCAGTTGTGTCTAGGGCAGCCTGGAAAGAGGCCCAGGCTACAGTCTTCCCTTCACCCACCAGAGCAGGTAACTCTTGTCTGGACTCCCAGGACAGCAACTCCTTGAGTTCTAACCTACTGTCCCAGATGTTATAATCATACCTCTCAAACAAGGCGTGCTGCTTCAAGATATGGAGCTGTAACCCACCTACAGAATATATCTTTCTAGAAAGATATCCCACTTCTTTAAGTCCTTTGGTCTTCCTCCTCTTTTTCTTCGGTACTTACCACATCACACAGCCTTAAGTCCTCAACATCAGCTCATCGGGTGCCAGCCAGACAGTGCAGTGGAGTGGTCCTTCTCTCAGATGCTATTGAGTACAAATAGCTGAAAGGTGGTTCCTGTACCTTGGGAAAACCCAGATTCTACTGGACCTGCATACACCACTGATCTCCAGGTCAAACAAACAGCTACAGATGGCATCCACACTGAGATCCAACAGGACATGGATCAGACACTGGTAACAGTTCCTTGGCTGGGTTCACAACTCCGATGAGTCAGCTTGGGGAGACTCTAGAGGGTGGTACGGCTTGCTTCCAGAGAGGGTGAGTCTTCACCAAACAGCAGGCTTAGTTTCCCCATGGTCAATGCCAGAGAACCCATTGCCAGTTAGGTACCCAGAGCAACATTCTCCCTTCTGTGAGATCATCTTCCTGATGTTGGAACTTGCCCCAGTAGAGTCTGCGGTGCCGTGAGACTCATCAGGTTCCTAGCTGCTGGAATGGTCTCTGGGGTGGACAACATCACAATGTTCCCCATCCTGCATTGCACTCAAAGGAACCTGTGAGCAGGGCAGAGTTGATGGTGCTGCTTGCAGAGCAAAGATAGAGGGATGGCCTGATGGCAGGTCACCTTGCTTCACTCCCTGCAATCGTCCATCCTCAACTCCAAGGAGCATCCCTTCTCGAATTGCTGTTTCTTATGCTTATTCCAGCAGTGAAAAGAAATGGTGCTGAGAAACATTGTTGGAGGAGCATTCTGCACCGATGCCAACCCTCTAAACAGCTGTGGGGCCTAATTTTATAAACCACTTTAAAAAGCAATAAATTGATGGTAACTAAACTTGCAAAGAAAAGAGGGAACAGTACCACTACATGAGCATTTTACTGAGGCAAGAGAAAATGTTCCAGCAACCACCAAAGGTGGTAAGAAAGAACTGAAAGGGTTAGTATGGACACGCCCCTTAAACAGGTGCATGAGTGGGCAGTGACAGAGGGTGCTAGAGATGGCCAATGAATACCACTAAGGGAACAAAACAGTAGCAACTGCGTGCATATCTAACAAGGAATAGATATGAGCAAGCACTCAAAGAGCTGTCAGAGGACTCTCTAGAGTTTGTGTTCCCACAAAATGTCTAGGTAACACACCAAAAAAAGTGAAAATTATGAATTGTTACTCTTAAATTGTTTAAAAGATTGATTAATTGGATAATTTTAATATTTTTATGAAATATTTGCAATTTAAGATTCTTTTTAGGATTTATAGAGACTAACCAGTGGATATTCACCAAATCAGAGGGAGTTCATGATGCTTTCTGAAAAGGGTTCAAACTGAGAAAACTTTTAAATGAATACCAGAACATTTTGGTATGATGGAAAAAAAATGTAAAAAAAAAAACCACCTTTTTGCTGAAAAAAGGACAGACAAACACACATTGAGACTTCATCCACTACATGAATGGGCAAAATAAACAGATTCCATACGTTTGTCATATTTTAGTAACTAAATTGAATTTTTTAAAAAAAACCAGACTGCTGAGGAACCTTTGCACTCAAGATTCCTTGCAATTCAGCTGCAACTTTAATGATGTGAGTTTTACATGGAGGCAAATTTGGCACAGTTTACGAATGTGTTTCTTTTCTTACATACATCCCCCTAAAATAAAATTCTCCCCCTCCAATTCTTCTATTAAAACTAGAGGTAACTATCATATTAAAGAAATTTGTTTGATGCAGGAACAGCCAACCCTTCAACCTTCTTTTAGAAGTCAGGAATCTTGTTTTGGTTTACAGAATCCACTTACCAGACCAAGTTTTTTATTTGCTGCATTAGCTGACTGTTCCAGGGATTTAGCCTTTTTCTTTTCTTTCCTCTTTTCCTTATCAGCAAATGTACCACGCATCTTGGAGATCACATCAGAATCTGTTTTTGCATACTGAATACGCTTTATAAACCAAGAAAGCAGAATATTTTATATTTCACTATGCTAAACAGCTTGCACTAACTTCATTTAGGCCCCAAATATCTAGCAGAATACTAGAATTCCTTACATTAAAAGCTTTACAGTAATTATACTACCACAGAATATACTCAATTCATCAATTAATTCTGTACACTTACTACAAGAGCGTCTTTTGTTTAAAACATTGAAAAAGTAGAAGAGCTTGATCTATGATGGTTAAATGACTCAACTGAGAAGGATTTGTTTTTAAAATAAAAACACTTAAAAAGAGTATCCGAAGAGGCTTATTATAAACTAGTCACAGTGGAACTTTAAGAATACAAAAAGGATGAAATAGAGGAATAGTGTGGAATATAGGGCAATTCCATTTGAAAACAACTATGTTGCAGTCAATTCAAATTCATATCCCCAGACATGGATTAGAGCAATTGGAAGAAGGTCAGGATGACATTACTTTTTTTACTGCTAGTAATTAAGATGAGGAAGCCCTTGAGGCAGGAAATTAGCAGTAGAGGCAATAAAAGGGAGGTAAAATCACCACTGAGGACACAGGACATTGAAAAGGTACAAGAGAAATGAGGCCTCATCTGCATTTTAGTAGAGAGATGGTCCATGTGATAACTTCCTCTTTTCTATGCAATCATGTAGAACAATTCCCATCCCTTTCCATCTAACAACATTCCTACAGCAATTAGCAGCAAAGTAAAGTAATTATAAAAATACTTCTATCCTTAATAGCTCTCATATGCATGAACGTTCACCTATCAAAAGCTTGATACCAATGAAAAAAAACAGACACACTCCAGATATAGAATAGACACATTTGATACCCAGTCGCAAAATACTGTACTGTCCTAATGCTGTTAATAAATAAAAACTTACCATTGGTTTGCCATAAAATGGAAAACCTTGTAACTGTCTCAGAGCATTGGTGGATGATCCAAGTTCTTTAAATATGACAAAGGCTTGTCCTCTCATTTTCATAGTCTTTAAAGCCACAATGTCTACTACATGACCAAACTGTGAGAACAATGCATACAGGGATCTCTTCAGCTCTGTTGAGAGTATATAAAAGCCATTATTGCATATAGGTTGAAAATCTCAATGTGCGTCTATAAATTATTTGTCCTCAAACAACATAAAGTCGTAACTCTGAAAAATGTATAACATGCTATTTTATTTTGTTTGGACAAAAGATGGTATATGAGTGTATAATGAATCCAAATATACCAGCACACACTAGCACAATTTCCAAGAAGTGTGCTGTTAAATATTTGGCAGTCAGAAGCTAAGTTTAAAACAGGAAAAAATATATACTTGAATTCAAACAGAACCTTTAGAAATTAAGCTCCACATTCTCTCATATATAAGGATCATAGTGATAATATTGTTCTGGGTATTTTTTTAAATTATTCATGTTTCAATAATGTTATTAATTAAAATCAGGCAGGTGATCATGTTAGATTTCCCTCCTCCCCCATGTCTGTCTTGCTTAAAAAGCTCATTCAGGAATTAGATGTGAATTGGAACAGGCTTTCTGGCTCATCAGACCATCTTACTGAATTGTGACAGTCTTCTTCATTAACTTAAGACAATTTTACAGGTAAGTATAAACATATCTTGCCTTAAACATATCTAATTAATTTGTGTTCATCCTCATATGCTAAACAATTATTCTATTGCATCACTGCTCTTGTATTTAAGATACATACTTCAGAATAGGGATGTTATATTTAGATTAACTAATCGAATAGTCGATGGGATTTCCATTGACTTCAATTAGTCAAAAGGGACTAGCACATTCCTTCTTTGAAATGTACAAGAGTCCCTGCTGGGGCTCTTGTGCATTTCAAATATTGAAACGCCATGTGCAGCCCGGGGCCAGTAAGGAATCCCCCGCTGACCCCAAGCTCTTTGAGGAGCTTCTACTTTGAAACGTGCATGAGCCCCAGCAGGGACTCTTGTACATTTCAAAGTTGGAACACCACCACTGCATCCCTACCCGCTCCCATAGAGCTGGGGGGAACCAGCTTTTAAGCCAGCTCCCCCCAGCACCGCCTTCTCTTCCTTCCCACTTGCTGCCAGCAGGGGAGGGAGGGGGAAGTGACTAGTCTGTCAACTATCCAATAAGCTTTTGCTTATCGAATAGTCGACTAGTCGCTTATATCCCTGCTTCAGAAATTGTATTTTGTTTGGTCACGGCTGAAGACTGACAATATCAGCACTAGGGATGCAAAAATCCATTAAAACAGTTAACTGGTTAAATGATTAAAATATCATTTAATCAGCTGGGGTTGGGGTCCCAACAGGGCTGTGGGGAAAGGCTCCTGCCCTGCAGTGAACAGGGTTCTGCAGTAGCCAGGCCTGTTAACTGGTTACCAGGTAAACATGACAGTAGCCTAATGCTTACCAGGTAACCGGTTAAACTTTTACATCCCTAATCAGCTCAGCATTATCTTTATCTTAAGTTGAAAAGAAAAATGTAAACCAAAAATTATCTGAAATTATATTACTTATGGGGACATAAAAAGTCATACAAGAGAAGCTTGGAGAAAATGTACTCAGAGATATTATCTGTAAGCACAAACTGAGAAAACAGATAAAAGTGGCTATATAAATTGCTTTTTTGTGTGAAGATTCTCCTAGAATTACGTCATGAAAGCTTTCCTTTAAAAGGAATGCTCTGTTGTGCATGCTGGTATGGAAAGAAATAGGTATAAAATATGTATTCTAAATTCAATTTGCAGCTTTACATCTGTAGCGAAAATAATCGAGAATTTCCACAATGCCAACTTTCTGGTTTATTGGTTACAAAACGTGTGAGACAAACAAAAAGCTATGTTTGATTTTCCCACTGACACGTCATCATGTAATATGCCTTGTATAATATTGCACTGTGACTCAAGAACCTCTATGCTAACTGACAAGAGTGTATAAAGCGTTCACAAGAATTTTGATTCTGGACAATGTTAAGGATGTTAAGTAATGGTTAAATGATTAATCAAGTAGTTGATAGAATTTCCATTGACTACTCAACAGGCACTTCTGCATTCTTCCTTTGAAACGTACAAGAGCCCCTAGTAGGGCTCTTGAACATTTCAAAGGCGAAATGCAGAACTCCCTGTGCAGCCCGGGACAGCGGGAAGTCCGTTGACTCTGGGCTGCACGCAACATGCCAGCTTTGAAATGCACAAGAGTGTGTGGCATTTCAAATCGGCAGCGCAGCAGAGCCGGGGTCAGCTGGGGACTCCCAGCTGACCCCAGACTCCACACACAGGAGCGCTGCACAGCTAATCCCAGGCTCAGCTGTGTGGCACTGCGCCTTTGAAATGCCACCTCAGTGGCGTTCAAAGGGGCAGCACCGCACAACTGATCCCTGGCTCAGCTGTGCAGCGCTGCCGCATGTGGAGACCGAGGTCAGCTGGGGACTCTCCAGCTGACCCCAGGTTCTGGGGAAATGCAGCACAGGTTTCAGCGGAACCCAGGATCAGCTGGGACTCCCCAGCTGACACTGGGTTCTGTGCGACATTTCCCCAGAACCCGGGGTCAGCTGGGGTGTCCCCAGCTGACCCTGGGCTCCACATACAGCAGTGCCACACTGAAGTACCCTCTTTCTGCCCCCCTCCCTTTGCTGTCTCTATCTGATAGAAGCAGCATGGGGGGAAGAGGGAAGAAATCAACTAGTCCTGAATATCCCTAGACAATATATTCTAATTTACTTAATGCCACACCAGATCTCAAATGAAAGTCAGTGTCACATGGGTCATCAACATCACTGCGAAAATGCAGATACCATATAAGGAGTTAAGTATGTTTACACTCAAGAAATATATGTTCTTAAAGTCTGCCTATGATCACCAGCAAAGGTTTTTAGAACACATTTCGCCATCTGTTTACATGTAACCTGAGTATTGTGTCATTTACCATGGGTCTCCCATCACAAATCTGAACTGAATACAAATGAGACACAGCAGGTTAGGTAATTTTTTTGGTGAAAACCCCACAGATCACCACTAATTTCATAGACTCAGTATCGACTCCGCACATGTGTGCACACACGCACAAATCTATTATTCACAGTCAGGCGCACATATCACATAATATGATTGGAGAAAAGTACCTTAACCCCTTCAGAACTACCATCACCAAACCAGGACTCTCCACCAGGAAAGCAGATAATTTAATGGGCCATCCAAACATCCCAAAAGACTCTCCTTCTATACAGAAATAAAATCTCCTCTGACCACAGACCCCCTACTCGTCACCTACCACTCCACACCTGAACCCATATAGAGTATCAAACAACTAAAACGTAAACCTGATTGAGACTGCATCCTGGGAAAAAAAAATCTTTTCTGAACCCCACTCTTCAAGCTTATCAGACGGTCCCCAAAAAACAGGACATACCAACTCAACATGACATCAGACCCTGCCAGAATGGACATATCACCACTGCTTGAATGATCAGCACACCCAACCTCTCAACACACCTTTCGCCTATCACAGCATTCGCAGTACCTTCCCTGGTGCATTAAATTGTCTTAATAGCGACTATGTGGGTGAAGCTAGACAATCCCCTAGGCTCTTGAACAAACCCACACAGGAAAATGATAAAGACAAAAACACCACATTACCTGTGGGTGAACATTTTGTGAAAACTCTGTTCTCATCCTCAAAGAAAACCTTCACCAACACTTTCAAAAAACAAGCCTGAGATCTTAAAATTCACAGCTTTGCTAGACACTAAAAGCATGGGCTGAACTGAGACACTGATGAATGTCTTATTCTAACCATCTGCAATCCACTAAACCTCCGCAACCTGCTTCCCCATTGCTTCTTTTTCCCCTATAACTGGAAAGGTGCAAAAGCTAATTCATACTGAACAATCACTTGATATATCTGTTAACTCTTCATTTTACACAAGGTGGAACAGGTTATTTTAACTGTGCAAATCCGTGGGCTTGTCTTCATACAATACTTTAATGAAGATTCTACTACGCAGACACAAGAGCTTCCCCCATCAATGTAGTTCAGTGGTTCCCAACTTTTTTAACGTATGAGAGCACTTTTTCAATTTAAGTGAAATCCAACATCAACCTGAAACCCAAATACAAAGGAGGTGAAGCAAGGGTATCCTTTCTCTGAGTGGGTTGATCCAGCCGGTGAACACCCTGCCACCTTCTGGGGTGGCCCAGAGCCACTTCAAAAATTTGTGAAGTGGCCCTCCTTCTAAAATTATTGCCCACCCCTGGTTTAGATATTAGCAACCAATTATTCAGGTACTCTACTCATGAAAAGTTATACAAAGAGTTGGTGGTGGAAAGCAAATATATCAGAATGCAGACTGATCCTCAGTAATAATATAGTCCATTGGGAAAGTATTTCAGTTAAACTTTCCTGACTGTGCTTCTGCAGTCATTCACTCCCCTCGTTTTTCCTGGGACAGAGATGGCCACAATACTACTGAATACAAATGAAGGAAAGTGAGAAATTTCAGAAAAACTAAAAGGAAGAGAAACACAAAGGGATGCTTTATTGTTGGGGCAGAAAAGACACCAATGCATCCTTCACTGAGCACGAAAACGAACAACATTCTTGTTCTATGAAATACAGGTGTCAAGTATGCTTAGCTAAAAATGCTGGAGAATCCTGGATAACATCAGTTTCTTTAGATAAGAATAACTCTTAGCTTAATCTCTAGAAAAAAAATCATGATTTTGTTTTATAAGTAACCATTTCCAATATGTTTACTATTACTCAAATTTGTTCTCTGATATTTATTCTTGTTTTCATTATATCCAGGGCAAGAGATCTCAAACTGGTAGTCGTGACCTCTCAATCTCCACTCCCAAACCCAGTTATGCCTCCAGCATTTAGAATAGTATTAAATATTTTTAAAAGTATTTTTAATTTATAAGGAGGGAGGTGCACACACAGAAGCTTGCTCTATGATAGGGGTCACCAGTACAACTGATCTAAGGCTGTGGAGTTAAACATGATAATGGTGCTCTGTTGAATTTTACAAGCTGGTGTATAATTCTGTTCCCTGAGGTACAGCAGGCTCTGTAATTTTGTGAGTATGCAGTGGTTAAGAGGCTAGACTGAGGCAGGAAATTATTTTTTGTCAAGGTCCAAATTTCTTGGTCAAGATATAGCTGAGGTTCAGATTCCAGACATTAAAAAAATACCCAATAGGATATATGGGTCTGTTCAAAAGCATCTGGCAGTCTAGATTTGGCCTGCAGTCCTCCTGACTTCCCTGCAGTGTCTAATTTGTGGTAATATTCCAAGGACTTGGATATGGTGGCCACCAATCCTCATGTACAGTGGGACCAAGGCCTTGATAGAGGCGAGGGAGAGGATTGCAGCGGCACTGGAAGTTAGTGCTTGCACTACCAGAAGCTTCTGAGTTCAGAAAGCAGAGCAACAGCAGGCCCAAACAAGACTAGTTGATGCTAAGAGCAGATAGTGGTTAGGTCACCAATGGGCATCTAGTCTAGCAAATGGGCTGCATGAGTGGTCCTCCATGTCGGTTACAACAATCTTGTGGCCCACTAAGATGATCTCTCTGGATAGGGTAGTTTTTTAACTGTTCTTAGTTATAATTTGTGAGGTGTACCTGACTGAATCATAGTAGCACTTTGATTGGATGCAGGGAGGGGGTGCTGCATGTAGTCATTTGGATGAACTGATAAACCTAGACTTAATCGTTTACACATCTATAGGCTAACATCTGTAATTGGGATTCCATTGGGCTAGCCATACCACAAACACGCCTACGTTTTATGTCTAGACCAGTGGTTCCCAATCTTTTTGCTACTGGGGACCAGTAAACCCATTCACAAGCTTTTGGAGGACTGGTAACATATTTGCATATTCATTAAGCAAATGATGAATATGCAAATAAATTGTGTCACTGGTCCTACCTGTCCGGTAGGTTGTTCCACCGCTCCGGCCCCAATCACAGCCACTTTAATCGACTGGCACCGGCTCTCTCAGCTGCATCCGGTGCCGGGTATTCTGCCTCGGTGTACCCGGCAGATTGTTCCGCCCCCTCCGGCCCCAATCTCAGCTGCTTCATTGGCCGGTGCCGGCTTCCCCGGCTGCGTCTGGCGTTCCGCATCGGTGTGCCCGGCTTTCTCCCTGGGTCCTAGCACCTGTCAGATCTAGCCCCACCGCCCGGGAGCATGCCCAGCAGATATCACGGCGGTGGGTCTCTCCCAAGAGGGCCACGCCGCCGCACTCGGCAGTGCAGAGTGCTGCTACCCGTCACACAAATTAATAAGATTGTGTGCAATAATTTTTCCTAAGGACTGGTACTGGGCCGTGGACCACACTTTGGAAAACGCTGGTCTAGACTATATCTCTTGAAGACAGAATACCATACTTTTACTGAGTTTTCACAACATGCTGATAAAAAAATACAAACTTTAATTTAACCATACCTTCTTTTTTAATTTTGTCATTGATATTATTGATGTAAACAGTATGGTTTGGTCTGATATCCATCTTCTAACTTGCTTACACAACAGCCTAGAAAAACAAGCACAATCTATTAAAATACTTTCCATTTATGAGGATGAATTCTTAATAACAGATTGAGTTTTTGTTAGTTTAGATCAAATACCTGTTGCCAACATCAGGCTATATAAAATGGTATCAGAACTGCCTCACTCCACAGCAAAAAGGAAGCCCTTTCTATCACAGGGGGTTTTAAAACCATACATGAAAAACAAGTAGCCCTTAAAGACTAATAAAAATACGTATAGTATCAAGAGCTTCCGTGGGCACGAAGCGGGTTTTGCCCATGAAAGCTCAGGATACCATATATATTTGGGAGCGAGGGACTACTCGCTGTTTTCAGCGTTACCGACTAACAGGGCTGCTACCCCTCTAAAGCCACACACGGCCATGTGCCCACAAAGGGCCATCTCCTGGGAGGGAGGAGCCGCCGAGAAAGCACCAAGCTGCGTGTGGACAAGAGATGTCCCGTAATCCCTGGACTGCCCCTCAGCAATAACGCTCCGTCGTGTTCAGGAGCGAGGGACTACTCGCTGTTTTCAGCGTTACCGACTAACAGGGCTGCTACCCCTCTAAAGCCACACACGGCCATGTGCCCACAAAGGGCCATCTCCTGGGAGGGAGGAGCCGCCGAGAAAGCACCAAGCTGCGTGTGGACAAGAGATGTCCCGTAATCCCTGGACTGCCCCTCAGCAATAACGCTCCGTCGTGTTCAAACTCGTCGTGTAAACAGCGAGGCCCTCACATCACCCT